GTAAACTAATGCAATGTCCTCTCCCACCCCCATACCTTTTCCCTCCCCCTACCCCCAAACACTTATCAGCTGGAGGCAGCTGGGACTGAGCAGGCTTGTTTAGCCTATGGCCGAATCTCTGAATTGGCCAAATCTTTTCCGAATCAATTCGGAACTTTTACTTGGTCTCCTGATTCAAATTGAATTTGGAGATTCAGTCCCCGAAATCGGGCCGAATCTCCTCCTTATCAAATCAGCCACCAAAGCTTCACACAACCCTAGTCTTCACTGGTTAATTTAGAGCTTTGAATCTATATTGCCATAGTTTATAACGTTCCTTCACTCACCTGTAAGGATCTGTGACAGAATGGGATTTCACGTGTGAATACCAGTCTTTCTTCCAACTGTAACATTTCCCACAGAACTGGCACTGGAAAGGCTTCACATCGAGGTGTTTGTTCATGTGTTGCCGAAGATCCCGAGCTTCATAGAAACTTTTATCACACCTGGAACAGTAAAGGTTTCACCCTTTCTCACTGAACCAAGATGAAGATAGCCATAGAGGGAAGACCACAATTTCAATGGCACAAACCAATGTCAAGTTGCCTATAGTAGTTTGCTCTGGAAATCTGAAAGTAGTGGCAGACTTCAAGGATACAAAATGTACAGTATTAAGCACACTATTTACCTACCAGCCTATGTCTTTGATTGATATTATTACATTAATGTAACCCCCCACTTGTAGAACAAGAGATGAAAAGGAACAGCTAATTTGAAAACTTAGAGGCTTCACACATTTTTTACTTTTATGCTTTAGAAAGTTATTTTCCCCTCAATTGTTATAACTGGGCGGGGGGAGAAGAAAAAAGTTTGTTTAAACCCATATTCAGCAACAAAATAATAGTTATGGCTAGTAGCACATCACAAGTTAGAGTACTTAAAGCTTTTGCTCTATATGCTAGAAAAACTCAAACAGATTCAGTCGGTGGAGCCATAAAGGATTAAATACCAAGTCAGAGGTAAAACTACGAGTTACACTGTTCAACAATATTTCCTATCAATATAGCCACTGGACTATCAAGAACGCTGAGAAAAGCAAGTCAGAGGGACAAGGAACACTTACTCTTTAGGTCTCCATTTCTCAAAGAGCAAGTGCCCTTGCCCTAGGACAACTTCCTCCATGCTCCACAACAGCATGTCTACAGGAGGCAAAGGTTCACTAACTCCTTGTTAGCTAGGGTGACCATACATCCCAGTTTGGCCGGAATAGTCCTGGATTCCATAGGCTGGTTGGTCAGAAGTCCTGGGCCAAAGTCCAGCGGGCATCCTATCTTTAGACAACTATAAAAGGTTTGTTTTAACCAAGAAGTTACTTCTTCCTTTGCAGACCTAGGAGTTTTGCTTTTCAGAAAGCTCTGCCTACCAGCCTACCTATCTGCTTGGTATAATATTCCAGGGCTTTGTCAGGTCATAGCAACCTGTAGGCAAAGATGCCCCAAAACCAGAACGTCTAAATCTGCTAGGAACAAAATGCCTCTCAGTTTGACAAGCCTCCCAAGAGAAGTAGGTTTGGCCAGAATTCAGAATTTCCTGTTCTGTGGCAAACGTTGAAAAACTCAAGTTGTTTCATATGAGAACAAAAACCTCAACATGCCTGGCAGGATAGCTGAAACTCTAGACAAGAAATGAAACATTTTAACTTTTCAAAACAAAAAAATTGACAGGGTTCCTTAAACTCCCTATATATGCAACAGCGCAACCTTCAATTCACACTACCGTGCAGATGGGAGGCTGACATTCTCTGGTTTTCTGGGCTCCTTGCTCCTCAGCACAGAGCTGTTCCAGGCTAGATTTGAGATTTACAAGCTGGTGGTTCTATGTTTGCCCACTAGGATATTGGAAGATTTATCAAATTGCATTTTTGTTGGAAGATTTCCAGCCAGCTAGACTACAGAAGAAACAAAGCTTATTGAGGTTTAACCAATTAAGAAAAAAAAACCCTGACACAGGGCTAACTGAAGATCTCCATGAGGAGCTAAACCAGGGAGACAATTAACAACCAGAGTCTGTAATAAAATGTTGATGTCTGCCAGCTTTAGCTAGTGAAGATCAATGACAGTGTGAATTAGGTCCTTTTTGTCTTAATTCTGGAGGACTTTGACTGGAGACATGCTGATACCACAACTAACTCAGTGCACTATATTCAGTGATGCAACTGAATGTAAACTGGCTTCAATTATTCCTCCTTCAAAATATATATTCTTCCTTCCAGAGAATTAAAGCAATTCTACCTCTTCCCCGCCCCCCCAACTGGATTTTATTTGCTCTGGGTTTTCAGTTTCTGGCAGTCAGAAACTATTAAGAAGCTTCTACCCTTTGCCACAAAGGTAGAGAGAAGTATTTTGTACAGTTACAAAAACATTATATATGCTTATAAAGATAGCAATGCCCAAGACAGGTTTCAAAGCATTTAAAAAACATATATTCATTCTCAGTAGCAGAATGTTTTGTATGTAGTTAGTAAACAATGTTACAAGCCTATTCAATAAAGGAAGAGGGGAAGATATTTAAAGGCACAAATGGCTGGCTAACCCCTATTTGCGCTTTTGAAAAATATTTAAGTCTTTTATGATGTGCTTGATTGGGCAGAAGTTCAATGTTTTTTGATAACACAAAAGCTCCCATTCTATATTTATAAAATACTTCTGAGACTAAACTTGGCCTTATTAAGATATTTTCATTGTGATCAAGATTAAGTTGGATCAATGCTACTGGCAGTGGGTCTCAGTTCTAATAATAAGAACAAGCACCTGCATCTGCACAACTGACCAGTTGTTCAGCATAGTGTTCTGTGCACTCTGGAAGTTTACTATCCTGAACTGTTACTGTATGTAACAAGGAATGCACCCATGTAAACAGAGATTAGTGAATACTGTAAAATAGGGCGTAGAGCAGAATAGAGACCGTTCACCTCTGCAGAGCTTGTGTCCCTGCTATCTCTATTACACATTTTAAAATAGACTGTGAAACTATTACTTAGAGAAGCATGTAAAAAAACAACCACTCAACAAACCAGACTACTCAATATTCAAATCTGACTTGAAAAGCACAAATAAGATAATTAAGATCAAGACCATCTTCACTACCAAATAAGCTGGACAAAAATTAATTTTCCCTTCTAGAACTTTATACACTTTATTCTGGAGAACTAAGCAGTTCTACATGACCAAGTATGGCATAATTAAACTATCTTCAGTAATCCCAGGAATTTAATGATTATTTTATACTTACTGGGTACACTGATATCCACGAACTTCAGGCTTTGGCTGGTGTTTCTTGATATGCTTACTGAGTCCAGAGGCTCTATGAAAAGAGTTCCCACAGATGGAGCAAAGATACTTAGATTCTCCTGGTAAACCAAAAGAACATATTACAAGGCCATGTCTCCTACAGGGATTCCATCTCCCTGCAGTACTTTAGAGGGAATATACCCTTTTCACAAAATTTATCTGAACTACTCAGAGCATTAGCTCTGCAGCAAGAGGGAGATATATAATATATGACTGGAATTTTAAAGTGTATTCTTTATAAGATCTTATATAAATGTAGTTGTGTGCAAGATAAAAGCTAAAAAAGCAACTCTAAAATTTTAGCGGAATGAAGGTTTGTTTGTTTTTTTTAAAAAAAACAACAACCCTCAACAGGTCCCAAATTTTACGAATAACCTTCCCCTCCCATACAGACACTTGAACAAGCATCTACTCCATAGCTCAACAAATACAGAATGCAAAATTTAACTTAACAGCTTTTTCACATCATATGCATACATTTAAGAAGAAAAATCTCTTGATGCACACATGTCAACCTTATACATTACAAACAGCAAATGCTTAATTTCTTAGCATTTATACAATGCTTTATTACAGCAAATCTTAGAAAAAGATTAAATGTAGGAAGGCACTTGCAACTGAAGATATGCAACAACTTGATTAATTTCCCTCAGAAACAAACAGTAAGTCTAAGAGATTTCAGCTGCTGTCAACCCATTCCCTGAAAGGTACCATTTCTCAAATGCAAACCCTATAGGTATAAATATACAGAGTGAGCTAATGAGGAAACCCTGCATACAAGCAATAAATTCTTCAAAGCAAGAAATTGTTCTAGGTTCTTTACAGAATATAGAATAAAACATTTTGGACATCAGAAAAATACGGCTATTTTTATTGCAATTTTCTTAGAGCCCAGAAGAACAATTTAAAATGAATGTATATATACAGCATATGGAAAGGAAGATTTTATTTTTAACTTGTAGCCTCCTTAATAGTTAGGACAGCTGTACATTAACTGCTGTATTTCCAAAAGCAAAAACTGAAATCCATCAACATTTACAATGTGCCAGAGTTGCTCCAAGATAAACAGAGGAGAAACCATTTACCTGTATGAATGCTCATATGTTCCTGAAGACTCCGTTTTGTGACAAAAGACTTTTCACACAAGTCACATTTAAATTGCTTCTGTGCTTCATGAAGAGCTAAGTGCATTTTTAATCCATGCTTGTAAGTAAATGTTTTTCCACAAACCTAAGGAGAAAAGCCCCACCAAGGTAAAGCACATATACACCAGTTTAAAAGAAATTTTAAAGCCATTGCAACAAAGACAGTATTGCAAAGACAGCATTGCATTTTATCGTAACTCTCAGTCCATAAATGTTCACTTCTCTTCAACTACAAGAGAAAAATCAGCATCTTTTCTTGGGAAATCTAGACAATCACACTTATGGTTTCTTGTTGGAGGACAATTGTGATGTGTTTCTTGCAGAAAACCAGCCACATGCCCCTGTGAGTAAAAGGTCATTTTTCCCTGAAAAAATATGGAACACTTCAGTGACTTGTCATCTCAGCAACCACAACTGTGCTATGCCACATCCTAGTAGTAAGATGTTTCTTCTAGAAAAGCCAGGCAGGGTAAGTTGGCACATCCATATGAGATGTACTAACCCCTCCCCACCCCTGTGCTTCTTCCTTGATCGGGGTCCCCATGCCCACCACTTACCTGAGCTTCCTGCCGGGCAGCCACATGCTCCCAACCCAGAAACCAAGGCTAGGGCTTCTGGCTGGTGGGGGCGGGGCCACGCAGGCCCTGCTGTTGTGGGAGCCCGCTGGGCTTCCCCTGGGTCATTTTTGACAGGAACCAAGGGCAGAGAAATATTAATTTTCTACATTTCTTTACGGGTCCCATGGACTGGGCAGAATGGCCTGCAAGCCGTATTTTGCCCACCCCTGCATTAAGTGATTCTCTTCTATTTTGAGTCAACCCAGAACTAAGTTGCTGGAATGGAATAGCACTGTGCTTGTGGAAGTAACACCTTTTGGACAAGGCAAAAAAAAAACCCAAAAAGCAAAACAGACTTCCTGACCTCTTGTAATTGTAAATCCCAAAACACTTTCCTAGAAGCAGAAAATTCCAGGCAAATTCCAAAACTCCAGTAAAACTCCCCCACCACAAATCTCAGATTACATTTAAATCAAAACTCTTAAAATGTACGTTACTTTCATGCAGCCATTTCTAAAACAACAGAATAACCTAGCCTTTAATATGTAGGGAATCTACAAATACAGCGAGAAATCATTACATATTTTAAAGAGATCAGGAAAAGATTAATTTTTGCTACCTTGCATCCATGTGGCTTTACACCTGTATGCTTGAGCATATGTATTCTGAGAGAATAAAGCTTAGGTAGAGATCTTCCACATATATCACATATAAACTCCCGCTTGGTTCTCCCTTTCACTTCTGACATTCCCATCTCTTCTATGCTGGCAGTTGCAGTCCTCACTTCATTTTTTCGGGTATGCCGAACAAGGTGAGCTCGTAGAGAAGCACCGTATTGAAATTCTTTTTTACACAGCTAGGAAAGAAATTTTGGAACTGTAATGTGCCCCTATTTCTTTAAACATATATGTATCACATATATTACACATGTACGCATCAACCATTTAAAATGGTACGTGGAAGGATTTCTTTTAAAAGATTCAGATTGTTAACAGTCACAACATTAGAGTAACATTGGTAGCTGGTTTTTAAATGCAAATACACTGCACCTCATCTTATTTTTCAGAATTTTTTCTCCATTAGTTTTGAAATGTAAATAGTTGCAACTACTGGAAAAGCAGCTCTGTACTGGTTAGTTCCCACACATTTTCCAGACAAAGATAGAGCAAATGCTACAACACAGTGAATAATTATCAACTGAAAAGAAATGTAAAACTATTTAAAAGCCACAAAAGCTTACCGGGCACTTGTAATCTTTAGTTCTCTCATGTTTCAGTGTGTGCATTATGAGTGCATAACGCCGCTGAAAAACCATTCCACATTCAGTGCATTTGTGCTGAGCTTCCACCTCACTGTTCTCTGTGGAATCTCTCTTGGGTTGCTTCATTTTCTTTCCTCTTTGCACTAACTTCATGGCAGCCTAGATTGGGGGGGAAAGAAAAATACATCCTTGAATAATAATTGTTTATATTATATCACATATTTTATTTTAAGTAACAACCTTCAGTACGGTATTTTCAGTCAGTTATTATAATTTCAGTGAAGTTAACAGAAACTGTTTAAAAAGAAAACTGAAGCCATCATAATACAGAAGAGCAGGAGTTGGGAAAAGGGTGACTTTGCTTGTTTAATCACAAACTGGTTTTCACCTTAGATGCTGACCATTCAATTTAGATGCTCTTAAATTTTCAATGCATAAGCTTGCTTTGAATAACTGATTTTAAAAACAACAGGTTGCAGAGCTTCAGCAAGTTCTTCATATGATCATGGTGTCTATTTCAGACAGAGAATTATTATTTTCTTCATTCAAAGTTCTTCTCAGGATTCTCTTCACTTTGAAAATAATGTTAAGGTTTATTTTACAAATCTTAATGTTATTCTGAAACTCTCAAACCACACTGTAAGCAATTGGTAAAAGTGTACTGGTTTAGCTGATTTACTCTTTTTTATTCTCAGTCTCCCAGCAGTGGTACAAAGCATCTCTTAGATCAAGGATCACAAGTAAAATTAGACAGGAGACTGTCCTAAAATGGATTGTGCTCTACTCCCTCTTCCTCCACCTCTCAGTAGTGTGAATCCACACCCCTACGTAAGTTTAGGTATGTTTCATGGCTATGAACATCTGTTCTCACATTGAATCATAGAAAATTAGGGTTGAATGGGACCACAGATCTAATACAACACCATGCTCAAAGCAGGACCATCCCCACCTATATCAATCCAGCCAAGACTTTGTCTAGCTGGGTATTAAAAACCTCTGGGGAAGACGATTCCACAGCCTCTCTAGGTAACCTGTTCCAGTGCTTCATTACCCTTCTAGTAAGAAAGTTTTTCCCAATATCCAACTTAAACCTTCCTTGCCTTAATTTGAGACCATTGTTCCTTGTTCTGTCATCTGCCATCACTGAGAACAGTCTAGCTCCATCATCTTTGAAACCACCCTTCAGGTAATTGAAGGCTACTATTAAAATTCCCCCTCCCCCCGTCTTCTCTCCTCCTAATTAAGTAAAACCAATTCCCTCAGTCCATCCTCAGAAGTCATGTGCCCCATCCCCATAACCATTTTCATTGCCTTCTCCTGGACTCTCTCCAGCCTGTCCACAACCTTTCTTGAACAAAGTACTCCACATGTGGCCTCATCGGTGCAGAATAGAAGGAAATAATCACTTCCCTCCATCTGCTGGCAATGCTTCTACGAATGCAGATCAGTGTGCCATCAGCCTTCTTCACACCAAGGGCACACTGTTAGTTCATATTCACCTCACAATCCCCTGTAGCTCCCAGGCCCTTTTCAGCAGAGCTGCTGCCCAGCCAGACGCACCCGAGGCTGTAGTGGTACATGGGATTGTTCTGTCCTAAGTGCAGGACTTTGCACTAGTCCTTATTGAACCTCATGAGATTTCTTTTAGTTCAATCCTCCAATTTATTTAGGTCACTCAGAATCCTGGCTCTACCTTTCAATGCATCTACTACTTCCCTTTGCTTGGTGTCATCTGAAAACTTGCCGAGGGTTCACTTTATCCCATCCTCCAGGTCACTGATGAAGATATTGAACAAAACCAGTCCCAGGACCAACCCTGGGGCACTCCACTTGATACCAGGTGCCAGCTAGACATCAAGCCTTCAATTTTAGTCTTGTCTAAAGCAGATGACTTCAATTACTAAACAGCTGCAGACCTGTCCTGCAGGGATAAGGCCACTATCACTTCCCTGAATACACTGATGTATACTAGACAGAAGCATAGAAAAAGGCAATTGACTTTGACTGCTATGACCTGATCAAAACATCTTGTGTCAAAGGCCGTCACTAGACCATGACAAACATAGCTTGGATAGCATAGAGGGAGCAAACTGAAGCTTCTGTGCAACAGTTAATATACCTGGAAATTCAACTTGGATTGCCTGTCTTATGAATTGTTAATCTTCAAAATTACAGCATGTAAGTCAGGCTCTTTTTGTTTAAAGGTATTTCCAGCTTTGGTGAAGATCTTTCCCAAGAAATAATTAGCAACAGATATTAGGGAAAGCTAGAATCAGGTAATCTTTTGAAGGTAAGGTTACTAACATGGGTTTTTAAGTGGCAAATTCTAACCATTAAGATGGCAATTTCCTCTGATGGATATATTTCAAGCTAAATTATTTTCTCCCTATATTTGGGGGGAAAGTAATCCAAAGGGCTTCCAAGAGCAACATTAAGAAAGTAAAATAAAGCTTCCCCACCCCCCTATTTTCTGCCCTTCATGCTTTGTAGCAGATACAGGGGGTATACTTTTTCAGGAATCTCCACCTTGGCCAAATGCAGGTAGTTTTCAGAGGCAGCAAATCATAAAGCCTCTGAAAAATCAGTTAGCTCATGACCATTCAAGCTCGTTACAGTTTGACCAATACTCCATTTATATTGAGCATGCTCATCCCCAGAGATCTCCAGGCCAATTGCAATGGCTGTACTCCTACTCAGAACTCACCACGATTTTTCCATAATTCTTCCTTCTGGCTACTGCAGAAGCACCAGAACAGAGATAAAGGAAACTGATTTGAGAGTTTGAGGGAGGACATCCATACTGGCACTTAGAAGCATGGAGGATGAAAAAATAGCTTGCCAAAAGCGATAAAGAATAGGTGAGGGCAGAAGGAGGCTGAGAGGGAAGGCTGGGAATAGTAAAACCAGAGAACAGGAACAGCCTGGAAGATGAAAGGAGCACAGGGGGCTTAAAAGACTTTGACAGGAAAAAGGATGTCCCTTCCAGAACCCAGAACTGAATCTGGACTCTATGGCAGTGGTTAGCAGCCTTTTGCGGGCATGGGCTCCACACCTCTGAGCAGTCAGCTGCCAGTTTCCCCAATCCCTCGGCAGTGAAGGCAGCTCAGATGCTATGGAGCAACAACCTCTGCAGTGCAAGGGAGTACTGTGGAGGGTACAGGCAGCACAGTACAGCTCCATGACAGTGATATGCTTCATGCACCACAGGTTACCGATCTCTGCTTTATGATGATTAAGTATCTGTGAGGCTGGCTCATGAGGAGGAAACCATCTTAATACCACAAGCACCACTACTAGTTATCCTATTAGCTCAAGGGGTAGAAGCCTGAGCTTTGGAGCTTAACCTGCTTGATGACCCAGAGGGGAATCAATCACATTCCCCAGGATGGAATTTGGTTTTGCCATTTAGTTAAAACAAACACATGCCCCTTCTCCTCACTTCATGATGTAACAAAGCAGATTATATTAAAAGGATGTTTAAAAACTGAAAAATAAATGTACCCAAGCTAGGAAACTTAATTTTAGTCTGTCTCCCAGCTGCTCGTAAATCTACTGTGGTAGAAGGGGAGGGGAGAGGGAAGGGGTATGGGGGGCAGATCAACACCCCCCATGGTGAGGGAAGTAGAGGACAGGGGCAAGTGCTGCCCAGCTGGGGTGGGGCAGGACATGGGACGGAGCCACAGCTCATCCAGGGGGCGGGCGGGGCTGGGGGGAGCATGCCCCCCAGATCTGCATGGGGCAGGGTGGGCAGGCTGCAGCTGGGACTGTGTCAGGATCTTCTTGGAGGAGGCTGGGCTCAGGGCAGGCAGTGGTGACGCTGGAAGGGGGCTATAGCCACTCCAAATTTCACTGTAGCTCCCTGTAATGCCACTCCCAGCACTGCCACCACCCACCTGGTACAGCCCCAGCTCTTCCTGGCACATGGGTGGAGGCAGGGGAGTTGAACCAGGGCTGTGCAAGGTGGGCGGCTGCAGCGTTGAGAGGGGGAGTGTGGGGGGGGGGGCCTATGGTGAAATTTGGGGGGGCTGCAGCCCCCTCACAGCGCTGCTCCGACCTGCCCCAAGCCCAGCCCCTTCTGAGAAGAGCCTGGCATGGCCCTC